CGAACGTTTAAAAACACCCTTTTAATACCGCGCGACTGTTTTTTCTTTTTTTTCTTTTTTTTTTTTTTTGTTTCACTTCTATCCTCTGTTTGCTCGAAAATTCGATTCGATTTTTGGGGGTCGTCGAGAAACTCTTGTTCGTGTTAATAATTATTATAATTAGGCTCAGCGTTTCCAGCTTTCTCTTCCCAGCTCTCTTCCTATCGTTCGTTCGTTTTCTCGCGCACAGTGCCGCTTTCTTTTTTTTTTTTTCTTTTTTGGCAATCCAACGACCGACAGAAGTGTCCGACCGAGACCGGAGATGAGAGAACCGATATTTCGACCCGCAACAACTCTAAAAAAAAAAAAAGTCTATCGACAGCGGCCGTGGAAGAGAAAAGCGGGCAAGAAGATCGCAGAATCACTCAACAGGCACACCGAAACCTTCTAACCCGACGATTTCGCGTCGAGGCGTCGCCATACACTGCGAACGACGGTGAAGAAAGACGGCGAGAGCTCGCCGATCACGCGAGTCTGCAATTCTAACATCGAGAATTCAAAAATTCGCAAAATTCGAGAATACTTCACGGTGGCAATTGAAAAATTCCCCAAAGCTTCGAAATTTACGGAGAATCAATCGCTCGACTCGGTGTCTCCCCTCCCATCTCGCAGCGTACCACACCGAATTCGCCTGACAGCTTGCCCGAGAATGCTCGTGGAAAATCGTCTCCAATTTATTCACCTATTCTGTGTCCGTTCGTTCGCGATCGCGACCGATCCGAGCGAACATCTGGCCCTGGTTCCCTTTTTTTTCTTTTTTTCTTTTCTTTTTTTTTTTTTTTTTTTTTTTTTTTTTTTTGTCGAGTTCCGTTCTGAACGACGCCTAAGGCCCCGATTAGGCAAGCAGACATCAAACAAACCTGAAACTTTCAACGCAGGATACACACGCAAATTCCATCGTGGTCTTGTCTATCGGACAATCCAACACTCAAAGACTCAACTCGCTCGTTCTTCACTCCTCGAACCTCTCTTTCACTCGCTCGCGTTTCATTCGTTCCGTTCATCCGTGTTTCTAATATATTTATATATTATACGTTTAATAAGTGTTACGACAGATTCTCAATAGATTAACTCTCTTCTCTGCTAGCTCTCTCAATTTTATCCATTAAACCGTTAACGTCGATAATCCTAGTATGCTTATCAGTTATTAATAAAATATAGATTATTGGGATGCAGCCGCTGCGCACTTTTGGACACACCTGTTACACTGCGATATATCAAATATATATGTATGTATGTATGTATGCGTTACGTAGGTTTCCATGTATGTGTGTGTGTGTGTCTGTGTCATGATGTTTCTAACGTGTCTCTGAACCGTGACTCGAAGATGTCCGAAGACGTGTGTTCACGTGTGTTTCGTGTATGAGGGTGTTTGGCAATCGCGTGGATATACATACGTGCCTTTTTTGTTTAATTATTTATTACTTCTAAATAACCTCTGTAGGCTAAGCTTCCTCTACTGCGTGGCTCGAACCAGACCCCGAATTTCCTTGGTCCGAACAGTTTTCTTTTTTTTTTCTTTTTTTCTTTTTTTTTTTTGTTTCAATGGATGCTTTGTCTTTTTTCTTTTTTCCTTCTTTGTTTCACGTTGGAACTTTCGATTGAAATTTTGACCACCTTGGGTCTCCTTCTTGCATAAACGGAGATTATGAATGTGTTTAGATCATGGTTCGTGTCGATTCTTTTGCAGTTTCGATGGTGAAGATTCATTGAGTTGATATTTGAATTTTTCTTTTGCTTTTTCTAAAAGGAATAAAAAATCAAATTTCGTAATGCTTTTAGATTTTGTTTGCTTTATCGTGCAATCAAAATTTCGTAGAATATACTTGCAATCACAATTTAATATAGTACACTGTATAATATAGTATACTGTAATATTATAATACATATTATAGTATACTGTTAATACAGCATCATACAGTATCATAATAGCATACTAGAATAATATAATGATTTAAAAAATCCAATACATTCACATGCGAAATTTTTGTAATGCTTCTAGATTTGCTTTATCGTGCAATTAAAATTTCGTAGAATATATCGTAGAATATATATAATCTCAATTTAGTACACTAGTATCATAGTGTGTCAGTACAATATACTAGTGTCAAAATAGCATACTAGAGTAGTATAACGATTTAAAAAATCCAACGGAACAGCCAAGTTTAGTAAATTTACTCGAATCTTCACCTCCAAAACCACCGTTTGAACTTTCCACAGAAACCAAAATTCTTTAAAGATTTAGAAAAGTAGAAGGAGAGCGGATGGTGTTTAGTTAGCCGGGATCTCTTCAACCATTACGCAAACCGCATGAAAACTTTCGTCCCGATCGAAATGCCTCCGAGATATTGGAGATCTCTTCGTCATATTTGGTCTCTTTCTTTTTTTTTTGTTTCTATATCTCACTCACTCTCTCTCTCTCTCTCTCTTTCTCACTCTCTCTCTCTCTCTCTCTCTGCTTCTTTTCGCTTTTCTATTCATATAAAAATACATACGTCGTTCTATATGAGGAAGTCGCGGGCGAACGCGCGTCGAATAATCTGTATACACAATAGATTCGAAAACGACTCAACTAGAAATTTTTCCGCAAACGAGCGATCTGCTTTAACCACTCCTCCCACTATCATTATCATTATTAACCATTGATAATATTTTGAACTTGGTCTGAAGAAATTTCGGAGCCTGAATATCTGCGACACCATGTAGCGAGTGCTGGCTATCCCAACCCTCACCTCGGCCCCCCTCAACCCAGCTAGTGATTATAATCCGTGTCTGAACCCTCTACAGGGTGCGTTTGTTCCGCGAAAAAAAAAAAAAAAAAAAAAAATATATATATATATATATATAATTTTCGATCATTCTCGCCTGAAGCGCAGAGAATGATTGAGAAAATCGAACACCGTTCTAGGAATTTCGGAGAGAAAAATATCTTCAAAATTTGAATATCTGAAAATTTTGGAGAACGAAAAAAAAAAAAAAGAAAAAAAAAACAAACGGAAAATTCCCGTCAATTTCCCTCCTCCTGGAAAATCTCTAGAAATGGTCTAAATATTTCTAAATTGCTTCTAGGTTATTTCTACTCGTTTCTAGAAATTTTGGAGAAGATATAATTGCGGAGATCGGCCCCCCTCCCCCACCCCAAAAAAAAGTAAGGAAGAAGTAATGGAATCGACGTGAAAACGAGTTTGTGCTATGGCGTACGGTCCACCCTGTAGACACCCACAGAATTCACAACCATCTCTTAAAGCTTCTACTGCTGTCCCCTAAAACGGAAATCGAGCTTTCCTTTCTCCTCCGATCGTGATCGGGGAGATCAGGCGGAAAAACGGCTACGTAAAATCACTGCCATCGCGTATTCTCGACGTCCGGAAGAATCAATGGAACGAGTTTGAACGCCGACACAGTCGCTGCATTCACCCGGAACAAGCTGAAGCATCTGGAAACACGCAAGAAATCTGAATGGAGGGAGAAAGCAAAACTTCATTTCAGCTCGTCCAGCGTGAACCAAGCGTGCGTTCGTGTACATCGTGTGTGTGTGTGTGTGTGTGTGTGTGTGTGTGTGTGTGTGTATTTTCCGTGTAACGTATTGTGTGTTCGTGTGTACGCGTTTGAACGGGAATGTGTCCGGAAATTCCTGGAGAACGCCAGTAAAATGAACGCAGAATGCAACACGCCAGCGACGAAGCGTATTTTTTTTTTTTTTTACATGTTTTTCTCTCTCTCTCTCTTTTTTTTGGAAAATTGCTCCGTCGCTACAGCGACCCGTTTGCTCAGGCTTTTCAGGTACGCTTTACAGACATTGTGCCGGAAATACTATTGTGCGTCAGGCCCTCGATCGATCACTTTTTCTATTTTTTTTTTTTCTGTTTGCGCGCGGAAACATCCGGAGGACCGGAGACAAGTTTGTGCGCTCGCGACTGGACCAGCCGCGAGTCGATTGAAAGAGCCTGTTTTCTCTCGTTTCGCATTGTCACATGGGTTTAGCTACCCTGGACTTTTGATCGTTCGAAGGGAACGGTGAACGCATGCTGAAGAGCGAAGCTGACGTTCGAGCAGACACTGAATCGTTGAACAATTTCTTTCAGAGCGGGGAAATTATTCTGCTATTCTTACAGATTAACGAACATCGAATTTCTTTCATCTGCGAACGAAGTGAAGTGACTAATTTTCTGAAAGAGAAAAAAAGAAAAAGAAAAAAAAAGAAAAAAGGAAAGACGTTAGTTAAAAACATTTGCAGAAATTCCATTTCGTTCGAGCGTGGTCCGATTTCTTTAGTACACTAAATATTAAAATTTCTCCGTTAAAAACAAAAAAAAAAAAAAAATCTTGGCAATTTAAAACTAAGAGTCACATCGCACATTCGTAATCCGAAACACACTGAACTACACCTAAAACTAATCAAATTATCAACCGAAATAAAAGAGATACCGCCGTGGAAACTAAAATCTCAATCGAGATAAAAATTGTACTGTCAATGGTTTCCATAACTCACCGGTCATCTTAGTAATGTACCAAGCGCTAGAGAGAACAATCGACGTTCTGCTGAACGTCAGCTCCGTGTTGAATACCGGAACCAAGCCCGTTCCAAGGAAGCCAACGACCAGATGAAACTAGAAAGTAAACGCCAAAACCGAAAACCCTAACGAAAAGAAACCTAAGACGCCTAACGTGTATTCGTGTACAGGCGGTGTGTGATCGACGCGTAACGAGTCCAGACGCGTCCTGGATAGGATCTATAAATGCAGTCGTCGGATTAAACAATGTAAATACGTCAGAGATTCGAAAGACAGATCATAATAGATGCAAAGACTGGCCCCTTCGCTCATGCCGGCTATTCGCTACGTCTCTAACACGATTTTTGGTCGAGTTCTCGCTTTCCTCTCCACGAACCTTCTCATCCAACACGCCTTCCATTCCTACAATCATCCAGTTCAAATCTCACTGGAGAGATTGCTCTCTCGCTGGAGAGCTCTCCCCTCCCCGTTTACAAAGGCGTGGGATGGACGTTCGATCGCGAGGAACGATCAGCTGGCTCGTCGAGAGATCCATCCCCTTAGAGTCAACGGCTAGCCTACTTTGGCACAAACAACACTCTGCCCGGGCCGGCACTCGCTTTGTAATATATATTTTTTTGTAGTTTTTCTCTTTTTTTTTTTTTTTCCTTTTTCTCATCATGCTTCGTCCGCCACACTCACTCCAGCCGCTTGTTATTTTCTTTCCTTTTTCTCTGGATCAGTCACACGCGCGGAACAGGCTCTCCCGCTCGCTCTCATCAGCCAGTCGTGTCTCATACACACGCGCATACACACACACACACACAACACAAACACACACATACACACTCTCTGTTTCTCTCTCTCTCTCTCTCACTACCTCTTTTTACGATTGATATACGTATATTAATAAGATTTAATTGACTCCAACAGAACGTCGGTTAGACAAAAATCGACGGGGCCCGGGGGCGCGTTGCGACGCCCCTGCGTGGCTATGATGGCGACCAGTGCGGCCAGTGACGGCGCAACTAGTCGAACTCGCCCTGGCCCGAACCTTTTATCACGATTCTACGATACTACTGATAATCTTCGCTTCTTGACACGAGGATTCGATCTCGCGAACGATAATATATCGCGCGCCACTCTTTCCTTCCGTGTACAGTGTACAATCGCGCGTGTGTGTGTGTGTGTTGGTGTGTGTGTGTGAGAGAGTGTATAGCAAATTCGTGGCAAATCAGGACTCATCGTTCTTTCTCCCCTATCGAGCCTCTCTCCTCGTGATATCTCTACGATATTTATTTGTTACGCTCTGCGGACTATAGGCTACTTAGGTGTATACCATGTATAGCGTTCCCGTGTTCGTGTACACGTGTGTACGAGTGTATATATCTCTTATAATCTTATTATCTTACATGACACCAACGCATCATTAACGACACGACACAACACAGACCAGCCCTCATTGTCTCTGGTCAGATCGGTTCGTTCTACGTCGCCTGCGGGCGCGTTTCTCATCCAAGAAGAAAAAAAAAAAAAAAAANTTTTCGTTTTTATACATATATATTTATTTTTGTTTTCCATTAAACGGAGTGAAAGAATTCGCGGTTCGTCGCGCGACGGAACCGCCCCCTGTTCCGGGGCGATCCCGGAACCAGCGAAAATATAGCAGCTCGCGAAACTCGCGTGCGCGTGCCTCTTCTAATTAGCGATATGTTCAACGGTCCTTTTACATCCTACCCATCGTCGAATTGATACCCAACGACGCGGCGTGTTGTTGGTTTTCTCTCTCTTTTTTTTTTTTTCTTTTTTTGTTTTCTCCTCGGCCTTACTTAGTTACGATTAATAATCTACGCAATCCTAAGCACCTATCAGCTAAGAAAAACCTGCGTCTGAATGTCTCTGCGTTAAGTATGTCCTCTTGTTTTACGTGTCACCTGTGTGTATGCGTATACGTGTCCATATTTGTTTATGTGTGTATGATTAATACTTATTATGTATATATATAATATATATATATATATATACATAAGTATATATATATATATTATATATATATATCGTCGAACATACAAATTATAAAAATACCACCTGCAACGACAGTGCGCCGCTCCGCCACGTGGAGACAGTCTCGTCGCAAGTCAGCCCGCTCTCTCCCTGGATACTTTGAATACTGAATACTTCTTTTCTTTTTTTTTTTTTTTTTTCTTTCTTTTAGAAAAATTAGAACGAAAACAAGAGGGAATTGGTGGGTAGTGTGGTGGTGTCTGGGCCACGAGGACGGCGACACGTGGCGGAGGAGACATCGAGAAAAAAATCGTCCCCTGTCCCCTAAATCGATCCGGCAATAAATCGACTCGCGCGTGCTCGTTTGGATCGGCGTGCGGGGCAGAGGGCGCGAGTGTAGCACCTCGCGAAAGCTGCAAAGGGTCCCGTGACAATTAGCCTTAAAACGACTAATCTGGCTTGGTACGCGTGCTACTTTCAAAGTCGATCCCTCTCATCCTCGCTCCTTTTCTTCTCTTTTGTTTCTTTTGTTTCTCTTCTCGGATCATTTTTTTTTTTTTTGTAGTGTTTTGTTTCAGCGCGTTCGAGACAGATTTCTCGCGACGGTTAAAAAGTAGATGTGATATAATATTTATATAAATATAAATATATATATATATATATATATATATATATATTTATATATATATTTATATATATATATATATATATATGTACTGAGCGCGATTTTTTCCCCCCATTCTCCTCTGTCAACCCACACGGAGTGCGGCTGTTCGACGGGGACCTGTTACGCGCGAGAGCGCGCCCTTGTAAAATATATATATATATATGTGTGTGTGTGTGTATGTGTGTAGAATATACCTTAATGCTCGAAAAAATTATTCTTAACTCTGTACAAGAACCCGGCGGGGTCTCTCTCTCTTTTTTTTTTCCTTTCTCCGAACCCCTTCGTTTCTTCTTTTTTTTGTTTTTTTTGTTTTTTGTTTTTTTTTTTGTTTTTCTTTTGTTAAAAACTTAGTCTCTCCCTCCTCTCTTCGCGAATAACGTACTCCTGTCACGCAAAAAGCACACACTCCTGGCCTCTCTCTTTTTCTTCTCTCTTACGTTGCAACAGATCGATTTCTGACTTTCTCTTTTCTCTCTAGCCCCGCGGAAAGCCAACTTAATATTTTCCACGGCCCTCCCTTTCGCTGTTGTCGCAGCCCTAATCCTTTTTTGTCATTCTTGTGTATCTGTCTCTTTGCGTGTGTGTGTGTCTGTGTGTGTGTGTGTGTAATAAAATCGTGTCTGCTGGTTGGGGGGAAAATGCTCTTGAAAAGACGGCCTGTCCGAGAAAAATAGAAACGGGGACCGCGCACGATCGTCGTCGTCGGACTCGTGCGCGTTTTTTCTCGGTGGTTGTTATCCGGCTTCGCTACGGAGGAACGCTTCGTTTCCTTCAGCTGAGATCCAGAGGGATGGCCAGCCAATGCGTCGCGGCAATAGAGACCAGCGACTGACCGCACCCTCGTCCGCGAGGAACGTCGTCGTCGGTCACTTGTTATCGTCATCAGTCGTACACTGAGCCGGGTATCCAAAAGGGGACTAGGGCGTAGGGCTGGTACCACTGCCGGTTGCTTGGTTGTGACTCTTGTTAGATGTTGCTCTTGGAGAATGACACTCTCAAGTGGTTGGACTCGCTCAGCTGGTAGTTGTGCATTTTCTGAAAAAGAGAAGAGCGGGGAACATTTCTCGGTTAGTACGTGGTCGCTAGATCTTTGGCAAATTTTGGTAAGATTAATTGAACAATTTAGGCGAAGAATGACGATTGAGAAACTGCATTCAGCGTGATAATTGGACTTTTAAATGACAAAAAAAAAAAGAGCAGGTAATAATAATAATAATAATAAATGATGTCCTTTATTTATGAAGCAGTATGCATCTTTGCATTTTCACGCATTTTTTTCATTTCTAAATCCCCCACAAATTCTCATTGTCTATTAGCAACATACAATATGTAATGTTCTTAATACTCGGCATAATAGCATTGTTTAACAAAAGCATTAACAACGTTATTTTATTTAACGATAAATAACTGTTCGGCTGGGATGAAATACGGGCGCGAATGAAATATGGAGAACGACGAACAATTATTATTTTATAACCAGTTGTAAAACCTTGTAATTTCGCGGGAACGTGGCACGGATTTGTTATTTATAATTTCGCTCAATTGCATCGGAGGTAAATAACGCGTGGGCGTCAGTGGCTAAACTAATTACGCCACTGATGAATTTTCACCTGGTAAATAATAAACGCGTTATACATTCACGAGCAAGGCAAAACAAAACGAGAATTGCACAAGTATATTCGAGCGGACTATCAAATTAATCAACTTCCGAAATTCTGAATTTCAGCTGTTAATTCAGATGATTCTCTCTCTTTCGGCAGATTCGAAATTCGAAATTTGTAAAGATTCTGCAAAATTTGTAAAAGTTGTTGGACGTCTCAAAATTTAATGTCACCGGTAATTAAAAATTTAAAAAATATATAAAATATATAAAGACAATATAATATTAAAAAAAAAAAGACACCAAATCACAACAGTTATTATTGTTAATTAATTCCAGAATTCTAGGCGCCAAATTTTAGAATTTCAAACGATCGAAGAAAATTTTAGTCGAGAAAGAGACGAGCTTAAAGAGAAAGAAGAAAGAAATACTTACGATCAAAGCAGCTACGGCATCATCCATGCTAGGCATCTGTATGAGCGCCATTTTTCTGTCCTTTGGGAAGAACTTGAATGCCTTCACGGTGAAACCATTTTTAGTGAACGCATCCCTGATCTCCTCTTCGGTCACGGTTGTCCTGAAACACGCCAAAATCGTTTCAATATTTATAACAATGATTAACTGATCGATTAATTTCAAAATATTAGAAATACCAAGGAGTTTGTTTAATTTCGAGAAACTGACGAGAATGTTACGCGTGAATTAGAGAGATAGAAATTTAACGTTATACTTACGGGATATTAGATAAATGCAGAGTGGAGCTCGGTGGATAAATATTTTGATAGTTCTTAGAGCCTGGTTTCTTGAATCGATGAAGGGGACTATTGGTGTAATCTTTCGTCAATCCAGCGTCTGGTTGGCCCTCCTTTGGTAGCTGAACTGTCTGATGTTTGCTCAGCATTACCTTGATCTGCTTGCCAAACACTCGCAATTTGTCCATATGCGTCAGTGCTGAGATTTCAGAGAAATCGTTGACAAATCGTTTACAAAATTCTCCATTCATTACTATTTTAATTCATAAACATTTTTATTTCAAATTCCAGAGCGCAATGTACATCTCTAGTTTTGATATTAACGCAATATTTATATTATAAATATTTTCGTTATGAAATCCATTCTTATTGCATAGGCACTGCAAATCTTTACTTTATCGAAGTTCCAATAGTTCCAAAAAAAAAAAAAACCTAACAAAATTACCTAAATGCGCCTGATGTGGTTCGGCCATTTGAATGAGTGCCGAGTCCTTCTTGTTGTAGAGAATCTTCACACGCTGAACATCCCCGTAAACGCCTACATGCACAACAGGCAACACATTTTAGTCAGCCCGATCTCGTTGACAAATCACGCGCGTCTAATCATTATCGAGCCGAAGACGGAATAGGACAATAATATAATAATAATAATCGGTAATAATAATCGATCGAGAACGGGGTACGATCGGACTAAGATCTGGGACATGCAAAACAGGCAATCGGTTCAGCCGGATCGATTTTATTTTGGAAAGCCAAAACCAAAAATTCCTGAGCCGAGGTTAATTCTTCTCCGAGTGTCTCGTTCGACAAATTTTCGCGGGAAATTCCCTAAATTTTGTAGGAATCTCGAAACAGCACGAAGGCTTGATAAAAAAATGTTCCAAGGACACTAGGAAAATTTCACAACAATTTTACATACGTATTGTAGAAATTTTCAAGGAACGTTCTACAGGGATTAAACTGAGAGGCTCGAGCTATCTTCTACGAAAATAAGATTTGAAATGGGACTCGATTATTTCCATAGAGATAACGTTCGTTTTTCTCGATAATGAAATCCTTTCGGGCACCGCTGAATTTAAAAATCGTCTGAAATAATGCACGGCTGAACCGTTTTGCCTGCGAGAAGTGAGCTCCTATGGAGATATTACGATAAAATAAGCGAAAGCTTATGTAATATTAAAAAAGGTGTCTGGAATTGATATTAATAAAATATTAATGAAACAATTTTCAGAAGAGATGCTTGGAGATAGAGAACGTGAAAAAAACGTGATGTCGCTGATGAGAATCGAACGATGATCGATGGGGGGTGATCGTGGGGGTCGAGGGGGGTGGGGGGGGGGTTGTGAAAATATCGATGAATGAGAATTGCGAATAAGAACAGTTATAGCGAATAAATAAAACAATAAAATAATAAATCATAGAATTGAAGATCGGTGAGAGACGAATATAAAATAAATAAAATAAAATACCAAGAGATTCACAGAGGTGAGTAAAATAATAATAATAATAACTCAAAAAAAAAGAAAAATTAAAAAAAAACAATAAAGGGGAGAAAGAATAAAATAAAAATCATAAGTACACGTGACGGAGGAGAGTGATACGATGATTTAAAATCTTCCACAAAAATATTCTTTTTCAAAAAGTTCGAAAAAATAAAAAAATGTCAAAAGATTAATTAATCAAATAATCGTATGACGAACGATCGATGATCATAAGATAATATACATATATATATATATATATATATATATATATATATATATATATATTCTCTGCTGGTATTTCCGTATGTAGTAAATGTAGAAGAAAATTTTTCTTTTTCTTTTACTTTTTTTGAAAAGTAAACAAACGAATAAGCGAAGTTTTTGTTCGAGGTTTTTCTTTTTACTTTTTTTCACTCTCCAAAAATGCTCACAGTTACTACTGATCCATGTAAAAACACGTTTAAGGAATGTCACTGGAATGTATGTGTGCCTGTGTGCACAGTGTGATCGTGTGCTGCGTGTATGTGTTCCGCGAGTGTAAATATAATAATTAATAATGTAATATAATTAATAATATAAATGTGGAGACGTACCAAACAGGGTAAAGAGAGCGTCAGGCGTGACCATCTACACAGAGAACAGACAGAGTCCAGTCAGTAGTCAGCGAGTATAATAGGATTCAAATGTATAGTGTTGGCACGCGCACAAGTTTCGCCGGCGATATCGCGTGTACACTGGCCATTTTTGGACCTTAGAGATCTTCCAGACCATTTACTAACTCAATGGAATGTATGCTTCACCTGTGTCACTCTGATAAATTTTCAATTCAGCGAATGTACAAACTTTGGAATATTAAAAATAAATATACCTGACAAAATTGGAGAAGTTCTATTATTTTCAATGTTTCTTCTCTCTTTTTCTTTTTCTTTTTTTTTTGCAATTTTCTGATTGTAGTCTGACGAAATTGAGGAACGTTTTTTATTATTATAGAAAGTTCCCTAAATTGCAATCTCCATTGGATTTCGACTTTTATTGGAATGGATCGTTGTCTAATTGGAATCTATATTGAATTTGGATTGTCACGAAAGTAGATTGTCGTCAAATTCGAATTTTATCGAATTTAGTTGTTACTGAAAATTGGCATCTATTGAATTCGACTACTATTAAATCTTTATTCTACCGGATTAAATTTCCACTTTATTGAATTGTTTTTTTGACTATTGCAGAAGCGAATGTTTCGAACTTCAATAATCATCGAAAAGTTGATTTAAACAAATGGAAGGTAAATTTTTTTTCTCGAAAAAATGTAAGAATCACAGTGAGCACAGTTTGTATAAAAAAAAAAAAAAAAAAGAGCAGATACAAAACAAAAGTCAGCAAAAGGGCTGGAATTTCTTTTTACAACCGATTTTTCTTGCGGTCGCGATAGAGAGAAGAAGGACAGGAGAGAACAGAGACAGAAAGAGAGAGAGAAAGAGAGAGAGAGAGAGAGAAGGAGAGAGACTCAGAGAAGCAAAGAAACAACGGGATCTTCTTGTCAATATGAATCCCTTGCGGTTCTTGTCGTTTCACGATATAGCAAGAAATATAGAGATCGCAAGGGGTTAAAAAGGAAAAGAAAAAGAAACATTTAAAGGAAGAATATCGTAACAATACGTATATATAGATGCGTCACACTGTTTGTCGCAAAGGTCACGCAATTAAGGAAATAATTAATTGCAAGGAAAATTTCAATTTAACTCAAATTTAAAAAAAAAAACAAAACAACACTTTCGATTCGCGTAACCTTTGGAACAAGAGTGTAATACACATGCAATCACCCACAAAAATTTTTGTACGTACACCTTGTAAAAAAGGCTACTGTCGTTGGAACAAAATGTTAAGAAATTTCAAATAACTAAAGTTTATGCCTTCTTACAAAATGTACGAAACATTGTGCGCGGGTGACTGTACTTTATAAGAGAGGGGGACAGAGACAGTAAGGGGAGGAAAGAAAGGAAAGACTTTTGATCGCCAGAAGAAAAAAAACACTCGGTTTGGAAGCTTGTGCGCGCGGCGCAACGATAGTAGTACACATAGTTATAGTACAGTAGTGACAATAGTTGCAGCTGCGAAGTGTGACGTTGACATACAGTTTCTTTGTGAGGCGCCTTCTATTTCGTGGATTAATTAGTATTTAGCACTAGTATTTGCACTAGTATTTGTACTAGTATTTGTAGATACTAACAGGAAATACTTAGTAGATAGTATGTAGTAGTTACTAGCAAATACTAGTGAGAATATGCAAGAATACTAGTAGATACTATATTATTGTGAATTGCAATGTTATGAATTTTTTATTCTTTCGTATTAGAGAGTCTGAGAGAAAACAGCGAGTAGTATGAAACTGATGCAGCGTTGATACAGCAGAATTTTTTTTTTACAGAAAGTAAAAAGTTCATCGAAAGAGCAATGATTCTGGATGTTGAAGAAATTACGGCGAAGCTGAATTTCGGGATTTTCAATGTGTTCGGAGAATTCTAATTCTAAATCCTAAATACAAGTAGGCGATCTGAAGTTTCCACGTATTTTCTTATGAATTTTTCAAACACATTTCTTGAAAATCTTCGTCGAGAAATAAAAGACGCCTCGCCGGAAGTAACGTCGGTTAACAACGCTACGAATTACTTGGAAGAGGGGATGATGACGTTCGGAACGATTTCTATATATGTGTTTCGAAAATATGAGGGGTAATGGGTGTAAGAGGGTAAGATAAGAAGGGACTGTGACGTAAAGAGGGCACACACGCATCGAGATCTCGATTTATTTTACTTGTCGAACTAAATACTCTCGTTAAAAGCTGAAACAAACAAAGAAAAAAAAAAAAGAAAAATTATTAAAAGACTTTTAAAAAATTCTCTTTTATACAGTGGATTATATTTGAAGACGTACTGAGAGACGTTCGACAAGGAAAATTCGAGTCGAGGGATGGAGAAACTGCTAGAGTTGCCTACGTAGCACTACGTTAATAATTATATCGCTGTATTTAAGTGAATTTTTAATGGATACGTACGTACCTAAGCCAGTTTCAGTGTACATAGGCAGACGCTGAGAGAAACGAAGTACATATATAAAAAGAAAATATCTTTCTCTTCAATTAAAAGTTATTTTAAGTCATTTAAAGATCAAGAACTTAGAAATTGAAATGTTGTAAAACTTCGTTTCTACGTTTATCATTAAACGTTTGATTAAAAAGCGAAATACATTTGGATTTTATTGAAGAAAATGCGTCTCAGTGATTGCAGAATTAACGCATCTAGGAATTATTCTGCCAATTGCAATTCGTACGTGGGGAAATCCATTGGTCCATTTCTCTCAGCGTTAACTGAAAATTATCCTAATCGAAAGCGTACAGTACGTCGATCACAATTTGCGTACTTAATTAATGTTGATTTTCCTCAACGCGTGATAACGTTCTGCACGCTTTAACAGGTGTTTCCTCGACAAGGCGCGGAGAAAAATTCTGTTTCATCGATTTGACAAAAAACATCCTGCCCCCTCCCTTCCAAAACAAAAAAAAAAGTCAAAGGCAAAAGCAGAGATTCGACGGAATTTATTTTCCACAAATTGAAAATTTTAATAAACATTGCACTCTCAAAGTACTGTATGTACCTTGATCGAAATAACATTCAATCTACACAAATAAAAAAAAAAAAAATAGAAGTAAAATGTCACGCAGTAACGATGTTTTCTACAAATACAAATAAATCAAATACTGCACGTTCATAAAAATTGATTAAAAAAATTTCGAAGAACAAACCCTAGCCCTTTCTAATTCCCACGTCTAGCTTCAATTTGTCTTCGCGCCTGCTCTCGGATCTCCATGTCCTCGACAACGTCACGCGAACGAATTCGATCAACCGCCGATCGTGGATCACTTACCTCTTCGTTGAGATTACTGACGAGCAACACAGCGGACGTTTGCGCGTTAGTAGGAACGCGTACACCAAGGCCAGCAGCACCAAGAGGGAACCCACCCAAGCCAGCTAATCCGCCGGCAGGTGGGACCCCATTGTACGGGCCCGCTAAAGGCGAGGGTAGACCGTGCATGGCCGCAAAGGGCGTGGGCAGCACACCCGGTGCCCCTGCAATGGACTCTACTTCAGGAAATTTACAAGCTATAGTTAGCACCGTTTCTCTAATTGGAACGTTAGTGGCGGGGCATGCTGTGGACCGATGATAGTGGGGCTCGAAACGAGAGAATCGACTTGGGTGGGGGAAGTCAAGGCCACGTGAAATAACATCGAACGGAACTGTAGTGACAAATAGGAGAGATACAAGCACTGTGGTTTCTTTCAACCAAACTGGTTTCTTTCATTTTATTTCACTGTTAGGTCCTCTCTGTGATTTAATAAATTAATTACAGTCGTCCGTTATTATTAGTTTATAGTTTAAAAATTCAGCGAATTCAAACATTGCAAATTAACGTTAAGAGAAGTGCTCTGAATATAATAAAAGAGTATTTATAGCGGCGGGAATTAGTTTCAAGTGGGCGATACAAGGGTACCAAAATTTGTTTGCTGAGTAAACCCTGTAAATTAGTATCCCCCTTTCGTCGTGAACAATGGGGCATTGTATCGAAAGGATACAAAGCATCTTGCTTTAATTAATTGACTTCCATTTTGATACCGGCAGGCAAATGACAATGACAATTTAGGTTAGATTTGCATAATTTTAATTTGTATTCCGTACGTCATAAACGCGAAATATATATGGGACACGAAACAAAATTAAACATCCTGAAATGTGTGCGCCCTGCATACGAAAATTATAAACATTAATATTCTCGATGTAAAAAACGATATTTAAATATCGAAGTTTGCCAATTTTATGAAATTTTGATTTCCAAGTCGATTCTTCCGTCAAACGTGATTTCTTTTTTTTTTTTTTTTTTTTTCTTTTATGTATTTGTAGGGATGTGCAGGAAATCCTTCGATCCTTTAAGCTTCCAATGTTTAAAAATTATTCTTAAATCGAAGAATTGCCTGTTCTTCTTCTTAAACAATAAAATATAATTTAAAAAAAGAACTGGATCAGGAGATGAAACTATAATTAATAACTATATTAATAATTTTTGAAACATTCTCAGTTCAAAGTCAGATTCAACAAAAATGAATTGTTACATTACTTTCATCTTTAAACAACGAACAATCTTTTTAAATCTCGACAATGTCTCTTAACCATCAAGATCGTAAAAAATTTATAAAATAATCTCTACAATATCTACTAAATAAGAAAAATATCTATTTAAATTCCATTTCTTCAGCCCTATTTATAAAGAAGCAAATCACTTAAATAAAAATACGCAACAAACTGATCGTACGAAGTACTCTCGCGTCTGTGGAACTTTCGACGAAGATCGAAAGAAAACATTGCAAATAACGAAACAATTGAAAACGTAAAAACAGAAGGGTCGAGAGATCGAGGGGATTGGTAATCGAAACGTCAGGCTGTATCGATCAGTCCAGGCGTTGCAGCGTAATTAATTAATTTACCCCAGGAAATAATACTGTCTAACCGCGTGAAATTCGATCCCGTACGAAAATGAAGCTGAAAACCGGCGGCAAATTGGAAACGGACGGATCGATTCGCGATATAACAATTTATCGTAAACCGTCGTCGGCGAGACAGAGTGACAGCCTGGCCGTTTCTATTAATATAATTAATCCTAATGGACAGAACCGTTCTGGACCTACGCGGGATTAATTGATCGATCGATTTTTATGGGCTCCCCTCGATCGATCGATGTTACACCCACGATTTTATCGAACGAGAGTACAGAAATGCGTTAATGGATTTTATGCGTACGAGTGGTTTATGACAGTTTCGAATTTGGAAATTTTTCTTAAGAGTTAAAACTTCTGAACTTTCAAATTTTAAGTAAAAATTGAAATCCTTGACTTTTCTGGTCGTAAACTTGACAATCACGGTTCAATATTTTTAAACTACACTATTCCGAACGATAAAACGTATTGTACTAACATTTCATGTGGTTTTTACAGTTTCATCTCCTGAACGACAACAAATCGCAACGAAATAAAACAAACGGTTAACTTCGTTGTCTGAAATTAAAAGAAAACACACTGTTCAAAATAATAAAAAGAAAAAAAAAAGAGACAAATCCAAAAGGAAACGATCGAATTGCAAGCGAAGCAATCAACTTTACCTCCTTTATTTCTACTCTCTTGCCTAATCTGACATCCCAAATTATTTCAAACAGTGTATCCGTCAACTATCTTTCTCGTTATTTTAGTAAAAAAAATCTGTAAGAAATTCACCGATGTTCTCACCGGGTATTCTTGCACGAGGCTGAGACCCGGCGCCCATTAACAACTGTGGAAGAAGCTCGCCACCCAAGGCAAGAGATGCCGCGTCCAAATTCGCATCACCAGTTGGCAGAGAAGGGTTGGTATAGTCCCTCGATTTGTCGTTATTGTACTTCACGTTCAAGTTTTGCATCTTGCTGTAGTCGATGCGCAACGTGCAACAGGAATTATAGATGTTCTGACCTTCCAGCGACTGAAACAGAAACGACAGAAATGTTAGTTGAACCGTTATGCACGTGACGTGTGAACAGTCACAAAAGTGTAGTACATTGAGCATATTATAGTGAGTTTAATTTTGTAATGTAGTATAATTAAGTACTCATATCACTTAGTATACAAGTATTAAGTATATACTGGTAGTATTAAATGCTAATGATAATAGTATTAATAGTAATAGATGCTACTAGCAATGTGCAAGTATTAGTATCACTAGTATCGAATACTAATATATTTAATACAATTATAATTACGCGATAGCACTTCGAAATTAGACGTCAATTTTCATTAAAATTTATTACCAACGTAATCTCTGTTAGTAGAATAATGTGAAATCAATTTCTAATGCTGCACGATCCAGAAAATTATCGCTCGTGGTTAATAAACTTTAAGGACACATTTATCGCCGTAATCGCCGCTCATGCTCCGCGCGAATGTGCAACCAACTCCCTGCGCTGTCTAGACTCTCCGCCAGCATCCACCAATTACACTAATTAGATCCCTCCGACCCCTATTCGAATTACCACAAAACACAAAATCCAGCCGGCTCTCGCCTGCAATGGAAACCGATCTCCCACCCGAAATGATTCGACCGAAACCACACGCGGCCCCCTTTGCGTTCATCCTTCACTTTCCACCGCAAACGAATCGCCAAACCGGAATCTACGCGGCAAGAATACGTCTCCGGTGTGTACAGCGGCCAAGCTACAGCTCGTTTGAAATCAATCGCTCGTCCAGGATCATACCACCGCTACGTGCTTCTAATTATGGTCCACCAACAGTCCGTGTGCGATTTGTTGAAATATCTTTCAAATATACGGAAGAGTGGAAACAGCGTATTGCATTTTGCGTTCTTTCAAAAATGATAACAGCTTCTTAACTATTCCCTTTACCAATTTCTTGATTAATAATTCGTTCAATTAAATTATTCTCCTTATTATGAGAAATTTTATTCTAAATAATATTTTTATATTACTAAGTAGTACCTAACCGCAATCTCAACCTCCGAAAATAATTTATAACAATTCTCACTTGTTCTCAATTTTGTTTAATCAAATTATCCTTCTTGCCACAATGAATAATATTACCCTGAATAATATTCAAAAATTTTTAAAAGAAAATTCGTAATAATTCTCGATCGAGTCGATCCCCGAAACTAAATCAACAACAATCTAAATAATAACTCTAAATAATAACTAACCACGAGTCTAACATCAACGCGAACCATGTCACCAAGTCTCTGGCAAATGGGTGCATAAGTTGGCCGAAGGATGACCAGAGGGGTAAATCTACACGGTGGTGGCTAGCTGTACGCAGGCAAACCGGTAATTATGTATGAAATTCATTAGCCCGTGTAAATATGGCCGGCGGAGAGATACAGCGAAGCGTGTACACGCGTGCATGTTGCAACAATGCACACGCAGGTCAAACACCATGGCCCCCGTCGAGCCGGAGAGAGTTTGCTCTGGTCTACGCCTACGTAGGAGAGTCGAACGCGTGCATACGTAATTAGGCTGCGTCTTTCCTGCTCTGCGTTAGATGGACGGAGCTGGCGTTGTTATTAATAGAGATGAAACGCGTCGAAAGGGCCAGCCTCGCTCAGGGTTGGTTATCGTTATCCGCGCCTTGGATCAAGCCGCCATTCGCCTGGATAATTATACGATATACGATGATTCTCAGACTAATGACTTGCTAACTCGATGAGCGTAGATTTTGACGTGGAAACGATAATTCTCAGACTAATGATCCGTTCGTTTCGAAATATTGGTGTGTTGAATTTTAGCGTGCGAGATGATACTTGACATTTCTGGTATTGATCGACATTTCTTTACAGCCATATTAGTATTAGTATAATATAGTTAGTATTAGTATAATGTAGTAATTAGTATAATGTAGTAATTCCATTAGTATTAAACTAATATTAATCTAACTATTGAACTAGAGAATGTTGGACGACAACTAATACCAAACTAGTATAACAATAACTATTACTATTAGTATAATACAGTTAAATTAGCATCAGTATCGGTACTAGTATTGTTACTGTTGCCAGTACTAGTAAATATCGATGTGTTGCAGAAAGAATTCTCAAATTGTAATTTTAAAATAAACTTCAAATATAAATATAAGTAAACAAGTATTCAGATATACTTTCGAAACATTAGTATACTTGTTAAATGTAAATAACCAAGTATCCAGATACTTTCAAACACTAGTCTAGTAGTTACTAAAATATAAATAAGTTAATAAAATATAAATGAAAGCAAGTATCCAGATGTTTTCAAATACACACATACGTAATTGTAAAATTTTTATCCACTCCACTACTCTTCCTTATTCTATCGTTTCGTTAATTTCCATTAAATGGACAATGAAACACTTAGCTGCGATTATTACCATGTCCGGGGTCACACAAAGCGCGCCGAGTTAATTAATTGGTTGCGTGGCAGGATAAATTTCAAACTGATTAGCCGGGCGAGAGGGAAATCGGACTGAAAAAATTCAATTGAAAAATATTCTGGAACTCTTGAACGCGAACGCGGAACGCGCATAATCCCAAACGCAATATTCCTCATTCCTTCTCTCTCTCGTTTTTTTCATCGTTTCTTTCTCTCTTTCTGTACGCCATCACACGGCGTAGCGAAATGGCAAGCTACAGCTTCTATGACGTACAAAGAATACGTAATCTGGGTTAACAAAGTTGGCCGGATATCTGGAATGAAATTATTTTAATATCGTGCCCTGCCGCTCGAACGAGACGCGTCAAGCTCTGAAAATAGTTTCGAAACTGCAAGAAGGGTGAAACTTTGCGTAAGTGGCTCTGCGTGCTCTTCTCTTTTTTTTTTCCTTTCTTTCTTTTGCTATTTCACTCTGTGGAAGGGTGGATGGAATTGAAGGCGTGATTGGAGAGAATCATACTTGTATTATTTATGTTACTAAGATTGTCGACGAAGAGTAAGAACGAAAAGACAGTAATAAAATTGAAACAAAATTTTAATTTCTACGAAGAGACATTGTATAATCTTTGTAGAATAATATCACATATAAATTAGTACTGAGATACTAGATACTAGTTACTGGTATACCAAATATAGTCAGTATCCAACCTTGTAACATCGTGTACTTTTCAAATATCGTGTACTTTTCATTCATTCAAAATTCAGAAATAATTAAACAATCAAATACAACTTCAGAAATAATTAAAAATTCGCAATGGAAGCTACAGAAAAAGAATACAACGATACGTTACTCAGACACTCGATATACCTGATGCTACTTCAATACTACGCGAACAAAACTGAAAATAAAGGGTTAAACGAATAAAATGAAAAACCGCCAGGAAAAGAACAAAGGAGACTGCCGTTTCTCGCTGGAAGCGCGCGGGACAAAGAAAGAAAATGACATTCGAGCGGAGCGCGAGGAGAGCACGGACGTACCCGTTTTTCCGGCCAGCCAGATTTTCTATCCAGGGGAATTTCAACGCGATTATTTGCACTTCTCCCGGACGGTGATGTAATTGCCTGCCGCGAAACGTATTTCGCCGCGTTCAATTAATATTTACGGTCCGCGAGCGAGTTCAAACAACCGGGATTATAATATCGTCGCTGGATTAAGTGCACGCTGATGTTTCCGAGTTATGAGACTGTAGACGCGGAAGATTGCTGCCGGCTAGTGTGTATTTAACATGCGCATCGTTGCCCACCGTGCGTGCGCGGTATTGTGTGTATTTTCGTTGACGAAATCGTGTTCAGACGACAATCGAGCGATCCGGTTATTTTTCTCATGTTTCTCTCGAGTGGAAAGAATTTCAATTTAATAATAATAGTAATAATCGTGAGTAAGAACGTACGCTGCAGGATACAACAATATGGTAAACGACATAAAACAAACGACTTGTTACAGAATTTAGACCGAGAAGTCCGAAGAACGGAATTTCTTTCGTAAAAATTTGTTTTGCGAAAAACACGTAATTACCATGAAGGATGAAAAGTTCCTCAGCCAAGACTGTATTATTTTAATTTCTTGTCTCCGAAAGAAACAAAAGGGAGAGAAAAGCATCGCGTCGGCGGAGCAACTTAAAAACGCCCGACATAAAATTCCATTTAGTCTGAAAGTAAAAACCCAGCTCCCCACGGGGATAGAAAATTATATAGAATAACATTTTTCTTCGATTGACTTTAGAATTCCATAAACTTCGATCGATTGGAAACCTCGTTGATAGAATCGGCGACTTATATCTAAGAGGATTGCCGTGTAAAAACAAACCCCCAAAAAAAGGAAAAAAAAACGGAGAAACAGAGAATGAGAGAAGAGGTAGGAGATAGTAAAAGCCACCTTGGTTTCAACTGGAACTTTTAAAACATCAAGTGTAGCAAGATTCTTTTAATTCGTAAGCCATTACTTCCCGAATGAAATTTCTCGATAAACTTCCGTGCTTTTCTTTCGCGAAAATGTATAAATCTTTTACTAAAAAAGAAAAAGAATAAGAACAAGAAGAAGAATAAAAACAAAACTGACGTCACAGGTACAACAAACAAATGTGTCAAAATATTCTTTCGCTTATTGTGAGATATTGGAGCGTACAAATCTAGAAAGTATTCTTCTCGTTTCTTTGAAATTTTCTTCCCTCAGTAGAAGCGAAAATACAATCGCAAATTTATTGGATTTGTTAGAAACACCGCGATATTTTTCAATTTTTGGAAAACAGTAACAAAGCTGAAATGTTCTTCTGTTTCAAAAATGAGAATTCTCGATTGACGATGTAACAATGTTCCTCGTATGTTAATCATGACGATTAGAATTTTAAATATTATTCGATCCAGTTCATTACAACAGCGGTCAAAAGTTTGAGCTACTCATACCGAAGCGGTGAAGTTAACTTTTACATCCAATTCATTCGTTCTAAAAAGTAAAATAAAATGAAGCGTGATTAAGGTAAATAGTAATTACGAGCAACGAGATACCAAAACAAGTACTTGTAAATTAATTTTAATAAACATTTCGATACATTAGCTGGGAAGGAACTGGTATTCGCTGTATCGAAAATTTCGTCCCGAAACCATACCGAACGAGAAAAACCCAAACGGTTAATTACCTCGAAAATCACGACTCGAAAGTCAGCGAAGGGTCGAGCCGAGCGGAGAGTGAAAAAACGAGAGACTAGAATATCGAAAAATTCGGCTGCTTTGATGTAGAGACCGGGAGGTGGGAGGTGGGAGGGGGAAGTAACCACGGGAACAACGCGACAACCGCAAACGTGTCGCGGGTTAATTTCGACCGCGAAAAGAGCACGTTTATTACAGAAAACTGTCGACTGGTAGCTGGTTTCCGCGGATTTTCACTCGTCGAGTGGTCGAATTAGCGTTCGTTAACGAGTAGACTCGCGATGGGATTTCGGACCGAGAGATTGCCGAGGATTTCTTACCAGGAAGCTATCCGCTGCTTTTTAAAACTGTCTCTTTAGACTGGACGAATTCTCCGAGTGGAAAGAGACTTTTCCTTTTTCCTTTAGAGGTGGTTTCCTGCGTTCTCTCGACAGATTCGTGAACATTTAATTAGTATAATCTGTACTGATACTAGTATCTTTAGAGCGATACTAGTATTCGTGGTTTCTTTGATTAATACTAGAATTAGCAACTTGTTCAAAAAGTGACAATTTATCATACGTTTCAGCAGCGTGATCCGTTCCTTGACGTAATAATAAAAATTTGCGTCAAGATCAACAAAATCAGGGCGACATTTATTTCGATTAAAAAATTCCATCTGTAGAAAAGTACACGCCGAAATCCTCCATTTCGAAAATATTTTTCTACCATACAAGGGAATACTTGGGAAGGAGAAGTGGATGTCAAACGAATCGAGATTAAAACACATCGATGAAACAAACAGAAATAATTTTTTTCTCCCATGCGAACAACCGAAATACCGGTGACTCGGAGGCATGAATAAATTTGAAATACGCTGTAAGCTCCCGAAATATGAAACCAAACAAAACAGCAGCCTTGAAAAACGCATGGAAAATAAGAACGCGGCTGAAAATATAACCAGTCTGGAAATAGGAAAAACCGGCGCCGCGACGGAACGCATTTCTTTCCCGATAAAAACAACAACGGAGGAGATTAAAATTTACATTATTCGCCCGGTGGCACCTGGACCTTCTAATGGATGACACTTCCGTTGCTATTGCACGAAAAATTTCGATCTGTCCCGCGGGACGACGGGGATAAACGGTGGCTGCGGGAGAAACGCTGGCCTCCAGACGTGAGAAACGAAGAAGAAAAAGGGGCAGGGAGGGAAAAAAAGAGGAGAGAAAGAGAGAGGGAGGATTTTTACGTGCGTTTTCGTGGAAAAGTTAAAGTGGATACTCACGAGTTTGGCGGTTTGCGCCGACAGCATGTCCGCGTACTGTATTAGTGCCTGGAAAGTGTCTGAAACAAAGAGAGAAATATTTTGTTAGATCGAGTTAACCAAATTCGTGGAGCTGTTGAAAATGAGCGGCGAAGCGCGAAGTGTGTTCCGTGAGAATATTCGAGTATTTACGGAATACGGGAAAACGCCTTGACGACGAATCTTTAATACATAAGAAGGGAAATATGCGAGAAAGGGTAAAATTTTACAGATTCTAAAAATTCGTTCTGTGACGTCGAAATCTCGACGATCCATTTAAAATGAAAATAAAACCAAAACCAAAAAGAAAAAGAGAGAGAAAAAAAACACTGAGGCAAAGCAGGGATTACCGTTCGATTTTCAAAATCAAATGCCATTCTCACGGCGGTTTGCGCCGGTGAAAATTAAATAAAGTCGAAATTAAATAGAAATAAAGGGGTATCTCGCCGGACTCGCGGTAATATGTTGTGACACCGGTCACTTTTTCCCCTCTATGGGACAGAATTTTTATTATCTCGCCGATCCCACCCCTGTCACACGATCAAATAACGATGGAAATTGAATAACGTTGCTACCGGCGAAAAACTCGATCCCGTTATTGCATTATATCTCTAATAAAATCGTTTTTTCATGTATTTCTCGCGTTTCTCCTTTCTTTCTTTTTTTTCAATTTTTCCCACGATAAACGAAAGGCGATATTAATGATATAAATACTCGTATTTGAAGGGCTGGGGGGGAAAAAATCGACGATCATCGTTGCATCGTATTTTCCATCTTTTTCGAATTTTCACTCTGGTACTGACAAACAGCGTGGTAATTACACAAGCTGAGATATTTCCTGATGTCACTATCAAATCTCTTCTTCGTAATTTCATTCGATGGTAACTTTAAATCGTTTTACGCTCGAACTTCGATCGTTCACCAGCCACAAATTACAAGGAAACAAGCAAAAGTTACGTGATTATTAACTACAACTCGGTCAAAGATCCAGAAAACAGGCATTGCTGTTCAAAAAAAAAAGAAACAACATCGATGCCGATTCTTCGCGACAATTGGACGGGAATAGCCAAAAGACGTTCAATCAATGGACGCTCGATCGGACAAAAGGGGGAGGGGGCTGTTGTCCACGATTGAAAGGGACGCGAGATTTTCAAAGAGCCGGGCTTTGAGACAAATAGCGGTTGATTGGCGAAATCACGGAGCCATCGGTCCTAAATTAAAGCGAAGACGCACTCAGTGTCCAATTAAACTTCGATTCGGTCAAGTGGCTATTCGTTCGTTCCATCTCCATACTTTTTTTTCAAGGCTCGTTCCTCTTTCATTCATTTTTTTCTTCTCTTTCTGCCTCTCTCTCATGCTCGATTGGTTTTCTTGCCGCTCTGTTTCGACGATGACCGTTCGCGTTCGATCCTTTTGTCAATAATTTCGAAAACTGAATTCAACAACGAGCGAAATTTCGACTGACAAATTTAAACTGCAAATAATTTACAACATATGCCTCTAAGAAATGTAACGAGCGGCGATGTTTGCGTCATATTTATGTTATTTCGTAAAGACCGATTTATTATTTATTAAACTCTCGAAACAAATTTGCACGAAGAATGAAAATGTTATTAATGGATATGATGCGTGAAAGATTTAACGAACGCAAATGGAATTGACGAAGCTCCGTAATTGCGTATTACAGACGCGACGAGCGCTATTGTAACAGTATCAATATACTGATACTAGCACTATTTCCAGTCTGTAAAGTTAATCGTTCAGAATTTTTACGCGGAATATTATCAAATATTTAGAATTAATTGTTGAAACACCAAATTTAATACCATGTACTTATTACGTGTATTAAAATTAATAATATAAGAAGAATCCACAGAGTCCAGTCTTCATAATATGAGAAAAATGTCTCGGTAAGTAAAATTTCTCCAATCAAAACTTCGGGAGCAGTCCCTGGCCGTCGAATTTACAAATTGAAAATTTACGAATCGCCGAAGTTTTCCAATCGGAACTTTGCAAATCAAACATTTGAAAATCCCGATTCTCCCCCGACGGCTAGCAAGTATAAATTAAAGAAGGGAAAGAGGGGGGAAAAAGAATCTTTTGAAAAAAGCCGAAAGCAGAATGAAATTCTTCTGTAGTCTAACGAGTTCCCGCCGCTCTTATTCGTCAAACAAAACCTTTACAGAAACAAAAGAAAACAGGGGGAGGAAAAGGGAGTGAGACGGAATTTCAGAAGTAAGGCACTTGGTGTGCTCTCGGTTTCTCGACGTTGCAAGCTCGCTGCCTCGAATTAAAAACATATGCGGCGATTCTTCTTTCTCTCTCTCTCTCTCTCTCTCTCTCTCTCTTTGCCCGGCTCTTTTCTATGGAGGAGGCCCCGGGGCAATTGCGAGATTCCTATTTTTCATTTCATTTCGTTTGAAACGCTTCTCTACAACGGATTCCTGACTACACAGATTCTGGTCTCACTTGTTCTCTCTCTCTCTCTCTCTCTCTCTCTCTCTGTGTTTTCGATTCAAAAATTGGATAAATTCGTTCACAGTTTTGTGATTTTATTTTCTCTTATGCGTTCAAGGATGATCTGTGAGGGAATACAAGCGTCTTATGGTTGTTTTAATTCAGAAAATTTTAATTAGTGAGAATACTAAGAGCATAAGATACTAGTATTAGTAATGATATATTAGTGGAGATACTAATATAGAATATTACACTAGTATAAAATATTGGGGATGGAAAGAGTATAAGATACTAGTATTGGAACTGATATATTAGTGGAGATACTAGTACAGAATATTATACTAGTATCTCCACTAGTACAGAGATACTAATGTAGAATATTAGTATGATAATTTCATCACACAGAACAATACTATTGCAACTTTTTTTTCCTCAGATTTCACCTATTTACGAATTCGCCTTGTTTTTTTCAAATTACAAACTTTTAAAAAAATCTACTTCTGTTAAAGTATTACATTTCTATTATTATTATTATTATTATTATTATTATTATTATTTCCTAATGAAATAATTCACTATTCAACATAACATTTCATTTATTTCTTGTACTATCAGAAGAAGAAACACTTCATACTATTCAGGGGCGAGAAAGAAGAAGAAAATCGAGGGCTGATTGATTGTGAATCGACGTTGCTATTGTGTAACAAGCTCTACTCGCCTTTCTATAATTGCCACCCACAGAAATATCTCAGAAGTGAAAAAGAACGCTACGTTGCAGAGTAAAATACTCGAGACCTGCTATCTGAACCGACATGAATTTGTAACGCATTTTTACCTACGGTGAAACGGACTTCTCCTGTATAACGGGTGTGCGGAACATCTGTATTCTACGCAGAAAAGAAAAAAATTCGAAATCTTGAAAATACACAAAACAGAAAATACCCAAATTTTCGACAGACGAAACAAAGAACAATTAATAACTTTTTGTCGTCTCGGCTAGAGTGACGAATGGAAAAAAGTCTTAAACGGTGCGAGATGATTTTATAAAATGTTCAGAAAGAGCAATAACAGAGATCTGACAATGGATGTTGATGAGAAAAACGTCTAATGTACAAGTTACTGAGTTTGACGCGGACAGATGTGACTTGAGACACCCGTTATACTCGAGTGCAACACCGAAAGTACTAACGGCGTCGACGTCGCCGTTAGGATACACTTCAAGTGTACACTGAAGTACTAAAGTGCCGTGGCATGTCTGCCGGCAAGAGTGGCGTCTATACAGGGTGGTCCAGTAGCTATTGCACTGGAGGAGGAAAACAAGAGCCACTTCGAAACGTTCGAAACGCTCCAGCCTTTCTCCGACTGCAGCCTCTGTTTCTTTCTCAGATAAATGTACAGCCGTGGATATTCGCGAAAATACCTCTACCGAAAAGTTCATAAATTCGTTAGTGAACTTCATCCAGGTCGAATGGAATATTAAACAAAAGTAGCTGAAAACTTGAACGGTTCGTCGAAGTTCTGTTCAACGATATCTCTCTAATTTCTTTAATTTAAATGACACTTACTGTTCTTCGTGAAGGTGACGATCTTGAGGACCTTGCCGAAACGTGTGAATATCTGCAACAAAAATAAAAGGTGTCCAGTTAGAGTTGGTTCTCACAGTTTGTCAGAGAATTACTATTAATTTCTCTTTGAATTCGTATTTCTTTCTATTCTCGTTTAGTTTAAAATTTTGTAGCGAAGTATCTTAACTATTGCTCGCTAGTATTTAATATTATATTTAAATGCCAGAATTAGTATTTCATGAGTAAAAAATAAAAAATAAAAATACTAGGACAGTTCTGGTTATATTTTGAAGTACCACTCCTTTTCCACTTAATTAAACGCAGGAACAGAAAATTATTATAAAATAAATTCGGAAACCCATCGTTGTTTAATCCAATTACCATTTTTCCAACATGCTCTTTCTGTCAGGAAGTTAAGTTGAAAATTCCAATACTCAAACGCGAACTCGTTAGTTTCGGAAATTAAACGAGGATTTATTACACGAAATATTCTCGATATGATACGGAATCCACAATTTTTCACACAACATACACACACACACGCATACGTAGACACACATACACATTCCATTCATTTTATTTTTTAATCGTAAAACTCCGACACCGCAGATATTTCGCGTCTCATTTTTTACAAATACGTGTTTTTATAAATAAATCAACTGCCTCTTTAAATAATAGACAGTGTAAATAATAATTGAAATATGTTGCAACTACAAAATTAGAACATTTCTTAAAATAAATAAATGTGAAGTATTTATTAATTTATGTAAATCAATAATATGTACGACAGATACTACTTTATTTAATTATTATCTTACTGCATTGCGCTGTATTTTATTATAAATTTGGAGTTGAGTAGAAATTTATTTAATAACATAAAAATATTTATCGAGCGTAATATGGAAAATTTTTAATATTTTTACGTGATTAGATGGATTGATATAATTGTGAAAGAAGATTTAACGTTAATCCAGAATGCCGAGATTCTTTTACCGAGCAGAGAGACGAGAAATATGAAATATATAATTACGAAGGGGGATTAATTTACTTGTTCAGGCTTCCTACCCCATCATTAAGGTAATTAAAAGCATTTAATCCGCGGAAATTTTACGCCTTGGCTCTGGGCTTCGAATTTTATCCCGACTCGAAAAAGCGGGATCCATTAATTAACCAGCTGATTCTGTTCTTTCCTCATTCTCGTCAGTATAATTAGAAAATTCTGCGAGTATTAGTATTGTACACTAGTGACGTAACCAATACTAGTATACTTTGCTTTTAGTATATACATACTAGTATACGAAAGTAGTGCAAAACATATCCTCTACTTTGTACAGATATTTTCAAATTTGTTGCCCAACATTGTCATACTGCTAATAAAAAGTTTCCAGATAGATTTTAGTCAACACACGCAAACACGTAAATAAAATGGCGTACTATGTATACTCGACAGACCATTACAACTTCCATTCTCCTGCGGCTGGCGAAAATCGTTAAAAGGATAATCAAGTTGATTGTAAAAGGGTTCTCGTGGCCTGGAGCAACGACACGAAGCGTGGTACCAGGCGAAAATTGTGGCCGCAGCCGCGGGCTGATAATCACCATCAGCCTGGAATCGGCGTCATTGTCATACATTTCGTCGCTGGAGTAGGCCAGGCGATCGCATTAATAATACCACGGCCAATATTTGCCTTGGTCCACGGTCTTGCGATCACCTGCAACAGTTCCCACTGAATCATCGTGCAGAATTGCCACCGGTTGCTCCGTCCTCTTGCTATTATAGAGTTTATAACGAGAGAATTGCTAATTATATATCTCCTATTGATGTTATTGTATAATACTAACAGTTAATTGGGCAATTGTGTAACGAGTAGGCTACGGACATTTGTGAAAATATTCCCGATGAACGTAATAATTTCGAAAATGGAATTCTGGCCGAGAGCTTGCTTGTATTATTTGCACTTTGTAATTTTTCATGCCTGACGTATTATAAAACCTTCCGAAACAGATAATTTAATATACATGTATTTGATAATAATTCAATGTATATAAGCGTATATGGCGTGCGTATGGATAAATTCTGAATAAACAGAGAGAAAGGAAATTGTATGCGTGCATGTTAAATTCCGTGAAATAAAAGTTATCCTATTCAATATAATATTCTGATTCGTCCGTTCTCTGTGTTGCCATACCGGCGCTGCTGGTTTTTATGAAATTTAAATTTCAATGACGTAAATTGTAACAACACGTTTCAATGAGAATCTTTTAACGAGCATCTCATTGCTCCTCATATCGGATAAATCATGACCAATTAGCGTACGAACGAAAAAAGAAGAAAAGAAAAAAAAAAAAGAAGGTACAGAGTATGAGGAAAATATATCGGTGAGATTGCTATCTTCGTTCGATATTCGATAACAATAATTAGACGCTTCATCATCTGATCAAATTATCATTAAAAAAAAAAAAAAGGAAAAATATTAGAAATTTTTATATAAAGAAATTATTCCGTGTTTTAAAAGGATCCGATATTAAATATGGAATATTTACAGTGGAATATTACGTTATATAAATTTATAAAAATTCTTCTAGAGAAAGAAATGATCACATAAAATTCTAAAATTATCGTATTAATACGTACGTTATACGTTATTTTATTTATACGTTAAAATTATAGAATATTTAAAAATATATTGAGATTGATATTTCAGTAGCGTACTAACAGTATTTCAATAGTATTCCAGTGCTGCTATAACTAATTTTCATAATAAAAATTAAAAATTATGCGTCACTTTTCCACATCGTTCTACGTAATTTTCATACGTCAACTTCCATCGTTAATCCCCATCAAAGAATCATAAGCTCTAGAAATAAATGTTGCGTAAAGTCCGCCCTCCGTCTGGCACACGTAAAAACCGTCCGGCCGGAACGAATATATATCCTGGCGGTTAAAATATTTTTCGCGACTGTGGATTACTCGTCAAACTATTACACTAAATACTGCGCTGCATTTGATACACTGCGCGCGCATACGTCAGGCAAGAAATTTCACTGAGAGAGACACGTCCCCCAGTTAGCATGGCGTTTAAGCGAGCTGGTTAACCGCGGCACGCTCTAAGCTCGGCTAATTAGTTTTTCGCCGTAAACAACAAAAGGATCGTCGGGCGTATTTTTATCCATCCAGGCCGCGAAACGGAAACGGAAAAGGGGAGAATGTAGCGGACGACACAAGGGAACCGGCTTCGTAGCCGCAATTAAAATTTTAATCTCTGTCTCAGGGATAATAACTGCGCCGTTATCACGGCCGATTAAACGCACCGTCTCTGACGAGATGCAATCTCTTGTCGTTTGTGTCGTGAAAATTTTCGTGCGATACGTCAGAACGTAGAGCGAAAAAATTAGTGAAAAAGGAGGAATTAAATAGTTACATCGTTCGAGAATACTAAAAATATCAGTAGTATTTATTGTGAGTATAGTAGTAGTATTTTATTGTATTAGTAGTAATACTTCTAGCACTTTAATGTACTTAAGTATTATTACTTAAGTATCTATTATTACTTAAGTATTATTACTTAAGTATCTAGTATCAACAATACTAGTAATATACTACTTCACTACAATTAGTAGTGATACTAGTATTCTATTATTCTTCGTAATGTCAGTACCTTTTTCTCTCTCTCTAAAAAAAAGTGATAATAGTAGTAGTGGTATTACCTTGTCGAAGCATGTAATTCTGTCGGTAAATAACTGAACTCTCATAAAAATGCATGGCGTCCAGTCGACGCGAGAAATATCTGCAAATGTGAATGGAATCGTGGCGGAGGGAGTTGAATTCGTAGAATGTAGGAAAGAGAGAGAGAGAGAGAGAGAGAGAGAGAGGTCGCTAATGCAAGCAGTGTCACGCGTTTTAGCTCTCATCGAATATTCAATATCGCCGTTGTGACGGCTCGGATGAAGAATTTATATTTTTCGCCGCGCGTTACGATAAATCTGCCGACCGTCCGAAAATAAGGGAAACGATGAATGAAAATCGGAGGAAATCGGAAAAAGGGTTGCCACGGTGGACTGTTCAGAGTACTCACATTGTCACATTGCAGCAGTCTTCCTCAGTTTGATACAGCACTTTTGTTTCCTTCCGTTTTTTTAATTTCGTTAATTATATTTACGGTCTTTCGTGTCTGTTGTTCCCAAACGTACATTGTCGGATTAAAATTTCTTCCTCTCTCTTTGTATCTTCCATTTCATATTTACGCAATAAAAAAGATAATATAATAGAAGTATAGAATAAAATGTTTTATAAATGATTACCGACACACGTCGAGCGATTAATTTATCCCAAAAATGGAATACAACAAAAGAATTCATCGAATTCGTCGATATTTCAAAGCTAATAATTTACCAAAAATATAAAACTGACTGAAATTCAAAAATTCTTTGACTATTTTCAGTGAACATCGAGCATCAGGTCCGTCATTATTTAAATGGAAAAAGTATCAATTTTTCCACGGAATTCACGGAAATATTTCCAAAGCAACAAACAAACAACGTGGAAAAGCATTGAAAAATTACTGCAAAAAGAAATATTGACAATATTCCCGCTACTACTTCATTCCATTACATCACTTTGCTCGATACATTATTATCCTATGATTAATTACTTCCGTTATAAATTAATCATATGAATATCGTTGGTTACATCAAAATTACAAACGATATAATAATCGCAACGTTAATACCACGATATAATAATTTTTCTCGCAAAGCCACCGAGAAAAAGCAAAAGTCAATCGAAATCACGATTCGCCGCTGGTTACACGATCATCCCCCCCCCCCCTCCGCAACAGATAAATAAACAAACGCGGCTAAAAGCTCGATGGGAAAGCATAAAGTGGCCTGAAATCAATGGAAATTCTCTGCCCAGCCATTCGGACGCTAATTATTTAAGCTCGACTCTTATTTGCCGCAAACGAGCCGTCGGAAAAGCGACCACCCCTTTCAACCCGTTCCTCCTTCCTCACCTCCCCTCGTCGGCGGATTCCGCGAAATTAACCAGAAAAT